ATAAGTCACAGACTAGGAGAAAATACTGGCAGATCACACATCTGATAAAGGTCTTGTATACAGAATACATAAATAACTCTCCAAACTCAATAATAATAAAATTCAATTTTTTATTTTTTAAATATATTTTATTGATTTTTTACAGAGAGGAAGGGAGAGGGATAGAGAGCTAGAAACATCTATGAGAGAGAAACAATCAGCTGGAGAGGGATAGAGAGCTAGAAACATCTATGAGAGAGAAACATCAATCAGCTGCCTCCTGCACGCCCCCCACTGGGGATGTTCCCGTAACCAAGGTACATGCCCTTGACCGGAATCGAACCTGGGACCCCCGAGTCCTCAGGCCGACGCTCTATCCACTGAGCCAAACCAGTCAGGGCTAAAATTCAATTTTTTAAAAATGAGCAAAAGATTTGATATCACCAAAAAATATATATAACAATGGCAAAGAAGCACAGGAAAAGATTTTCAACATCATTCTTAATTAGGAAATTGCAAATTAAAACCACATTGAGATACCACTACCCTTCTAATAGAATGACTAGAATAAAAAACTAAAACAAAACAGACAATACCAAGAGCTGACAAGGAAGAGAACCAACTGGAACTCATACATTAATGATGGCAATGCAAAATGGTACATCCACTTTGGAAAAATTTTGGCAATTTCTTATGATGTTAAACACACGTACCCAGCAATTTCACTTATAACTATTTACACAAGAGAAATAAAAACTCATGCTTACACAAAGGCCTGTACAAAAATGTTTATGGTGACTTTATTCATAATCACCCAAACTGGAAATAACTCATATGTCTTTTGACTGGTGAAGGAATAAACAGATTAAGGTTCATCCAAACAATGGAATCTACTCAGAAATAAAAATGTACAAACCATCCTATATAATAAAAGCCTAATATGCTACGTGTCCGGTCGTCCGTTCAACAAATCAAAATGTAATATGCTAATGATATGCTAAGGCCACTCAACCGCTTGCTATGACATGCACTGATCACCAGGGGGTCAAACAGACAACCGGTCTTCCAGTTGCTATGACGTATACTGACCACCATGGGGCAGACGCTCTGACCAGTAGGTTAGCTTGCTTCTGGTGTCCGGCTGATCGAGACTGAGCCAGATGGGCCAGACACTCCCTAGAGAACCTCCCACAGTCCCTCCCCGGCTGGCCAACCTCCCACGTCCCTCCCCGGCCCCGATCGTGCACTGGTGGGGTCGCTTGGCCTGGCTTGCACCCTCTTGCAATCCGGACCCCTCAGGGGATGTCAGAGAGCTGGTTTCGGCCTGATCCCACAGGCCAGGCCAAGGGACCACACTGGTGCACAAATTCATGCACTGGGCCTCTAGTTAATACATAGAACAATATGACAACTCTCAAATGCACTATGCCAAGTGAAAGAAGCCAGACTCAAAGGCTACAAGATTCCATATATATGACATTTGGAAAGGGCAAAACTATAGGGACAAAGAAGAAATAAGGTTTGACTACAAAAGGGCAGCATGAGAGAATGTTTTTTTGTGTGTGATGGAACTGTTTTGTATTTTGATTGCAGTGGCAATAACACAACTCTATGCATTTGCCAAAAGTCATAGAGGTGTCAAAAAATGGGCAAAGGATCTAAATAGACACCTTTCAAAAGAGGACATAAAGAAAGCCAAGAGACATATCAAAACAACAATGAGGTACCATCTCACACCTGTCAGATTGGCTATCATCAACAAATCAACAAACGACAAGTGCTGGAGAGGATGTGGAGAAAAAGGAACACTCGTGCACTACTGGTGGGAATGCAGACTGGTGCAGCCACTATGGAAGACAGTATGGAGTTTCCTCAAAAAACAAAACATGGAACTCCCATTTGACCCTGTGATCCCACTTCTAGGAATATATCCCAAGAAACCAAAAACACCAATCAGAAAGGATATATGCACCCATATGTTCATAGCAGCACAATTCACCATAGCTAAGATCTGGAAACAGCCTAAGTGCCCATCAGTAGATGAATGGATTAGAAAACTGTGGTACATCTACACGATGGAATACTATGCTGCTGTAAAAAAGAAGGAACTCTTACAATTTGCAACGGCATGGATGGAGCTGGAGAGCATTATGCTAAGTGAAATAAGCCAGTCAATGAAGGAAAAATACCACATGATCTCACTCATTCATGGATAATAGAGACCATTACAAACTTTTGAACAATAATAGATACAGAGGCAGAGCTGCCTCAAACAGATTGTCAAACTGCAGCGGGAAGGCCAGGGAGGGTTGGGGGGCAGGAGGGA